CCCCCCTCCCCCCCCAGCAAGCACTTTTTCTCTTCGCCTCCTTTCTCACTCCCTTCCGTCTCCTATTTACAGCGGCGGTGATTAAGCGGCTCTGTTCTCCCCTACAGTAGATTACAGTCCTTTCCAAAATGCCAGAAAAGTCTTGTCAGCTTCAATTTCGCTCCGCTGACTGGTCCACGAGGAGCCGTGCCAGCTCGCACAGCCGTACGTCACCACGGTCCCCAGCTATAAAATAGCCATCCTGCCGCCGCTTGCCACACCGTGGGCATCACCCGCCCGCGCCCCCTTCCTCCTGCCCTCCGCTCTTCCCCTCTTTCCCCGTCTCCCAACAAATGTTAATCAATTCTGCGGGTAGTGAAAGGATTGGTGACATCGGGAGGGGAGATGCAAGTGAGAAAGAAAGGAGCCCCCGGCCGCTGTGAGGTGAGCCCCCCCGGCCGCCGTCTCTAAGGGGAGTGCACGCCGGCATACAATCACAGGGCTCCCTTTCCCATGGGACCTTGTTATTATGCTTTGCATTTTGATTTATTCCACATGCCCTCTGCTCTTTCAAGGGGTGGGGGGTGATGGGTCTGTTCTCTCTGTTTGCTTTCTTCGCCGAGAGTTCCGTTCACCCACGGTAAAAGGCTGTGAGAGAAGCATAAAAGCAAAAGTGGGCATATATGTATGTACGTGGAAACATTAAATTCTTTCTTTGACTGCAAGCACAATGGAAAAAAAAAATATCCAAGCAAGGAGACAGGAAGCAAGTTCAAGTGACCTAAAATGCATGTGCAACACTCTGAAGGATAAAATGTTTAAGAAAACACAACTTGGGCTTTAAACGGAGGTCTGCCACTAGAGACCTAAAGCCATGCTTGGGAGTGAGCACAGAGTTGCTGTTCAGCACGCTTGATCATTCCCCTAAGTCCTGCAGACAGACTGCAGCGAGATCAAATAAGCTGCACTTGAGAGCAACAAACTCAGGACATGCCAGCGTTGCATTGCATGAGGTGACTTTAGGTGTCCCCAGCCACTCTTGTGCTGGGGAGCCACAGAGCAGGGCAACACCACGTAGAGGTATTGTTCCCCTCCCAAAACCCAGGACAACTGACACATTTAAGGCTGTACTGAGGCTAATTAACCTTGCCTGTCACTTTGCTTGTCTCAGTGCCTTACAGTGCAGCACACTGCACAGGGCACAAGTGCCCAAAGGCACCCCTTTGTGTGTGTAGGATGGTGGAGCAAGCATGGAGTAATGGCCTTTGTGGTCCAGCACAGTGCAGTTCTGCAGCCTGCAAAGACGCCCAGCAGATTCAGCAAATGCAGGGGATGTTAAAACCTACACCCTGCATGCTCCCTATAACAGATTCAAACAGGAGAGTGGGAAGAGGGAAGCAGTCCAAAGATTTGTAGCTGCAATTTAGTCTCTTCTGGTTGAAGTAACTACACCCACAACTTTGCTGTGCATTTTTATTTCTAGATGCCTAGTGAAAAACACAAAAGCCCTCAGACCCAACCATTACAGAAAGTTCCTGTCTCTTCCAAGAAATTAGTGCACAAACCCTTTCCTCTCACCACAGCCAACACAGCTGTTACTTTGCTTTGGGCATTACTGCTCAGACTTCAGGCTTCAGCACAGCTGCCAGGAGATCTTGGTCATATCCTAGGGTTTCATATCACAGCATCAAAATTTGATGTCAAGCACTTGCCTAAAATGCTTCCTTGGAGTCCAGGAAAAGTCTGCAGTTGAAGCTCCCACTTCAGCAGACCTCTGTGTAAGCAGGATTTGTAGATGGCATGAAGTATCCTCAGGAGCCAATGTGGGGCAAGGGGTTGGGCTCATGAAGGTAATCAAATGAGTAGCCAGAGCAGACACCTCAACCCAGGTGCCAAGGCATATTTCCCCAATCTTCCTCTCCAGTGCTCAGACAGCGATCCACACACAGACTGAAAACCCGTCCCAGCAAGACCATGCACTGCAAACACACTCCCTGAAACAACCAGCTGAAAGGTGAAAGCATGGGTGATGTGTTTGCCATATTCTTTTAACCATTAGTAAAAGTTGTTGGTATAATAATTATACAAAGAAAAGTTTTCTACAAAGAGTGGGGGTTTTTTCCCCATTTAACATCAGTAAGACTGAACATCCAAATACACCCTGCTTGCTGAAAGTCACACAAATTTTAGTCATTGGTCAAAGCAGTTGATTGCTTCTGACATAAAATTCTCTTCTTGGAACGCCTCATTGTGCAATAGGTACTTCTGTCACAGTCTAGATCTCTCTTTCTTAATGATCTTTGCTTTTAGACTGGAAGGTCTAAAACTTTAAAAGTCTGAAACCTCCCTTCAGACTGTCCTAAGCTACAAAAGGCCTGTTCATAACCTGATTCAATTTGTGCAGTATCAATGCACTTATCAGTATAAATACACGGAAAATACAAACATAATATGGAATTTCCTTTATTTAAACAGAAAATACATAAGAAATAACCTCTGGTTACAGACTGTCTCTAGAGGAAACCTGTGACTTCAGCCCTCCCCTCTTTACCAGTGAGACTTACTCCTTCAAAGAGCTGCACACTTTCCTAATGGTGAGCAAAATTTATTAGGCAGACTCAAGACCTCAGAGTTCCTGATATTTCAGAAACCCCAAACTAACAGGCTGAGAGACTATTTCCTCGACTGTTTCCCCAGAATAACCCCTTCTCTAAACAGGCAATGAAAAATCAGTGCACAATACCAGAATCACCTTCACAAAAACTTGAACTGAACACCTCAAAAATCATCAAGCCCAACTATTCAAAATCATTAATCCTACCTACTAAATCATGCTCTAAAAGCTTCAAGTGATACATGAGTGTAAAATTCTCTCCCCTCCCCTCTTACTATTTTCTGGATTGCTGCAATGTATGATATGCTTTAAGCACTTATCATCCTAACTAATTTCTAGATTTTCAAAATTCTACACCATCATTGGTAAATACAGCAAATAAAACAAAAATATGATTTCCTCCAGTGCTAACATGGGTGCTGATCTTGTGCTTTAAGCATTAATCTCAGACAGCAAGTTGTCTCATTCAATGTTCCCTCCCTTAAACAGATACATCCTTGTCATAATATGTGATGAGACTGGGAGACATCAAGTTTATACCTGTGACAACACAGCAAAAGATTTAGCCACAAAGAGAAAAAAAAAACAAAAATTAAGACTGATAATCAACAAAAACCTGCTTGTACAGACCAAGCTGATTTAGATAACCAGCAACTAGGGCAGGTAGTTAGTTACATTTGAGAAGTTCAACCCAGCATTTTATTTGCAGAACAAGATAAAAGTGAAAATGAGGAGAGGGGCTGAGCAGCAAAGGTTTCTGCTGCTAAAGCACAGCTCTGAGCCTACTGCCAAACCTCAGGATGAACAGCAGTGGAGGAAAGTATGTGAAGGCACTGTGGACCAAGTCATATTTACTGCAAAGGAGTTTAAAAAAAAAAATCTTAAATCTACTTTATCTAGATATTAAAAAATAAACCAAAAAAAACCCCAAACCACACATTTAATCATATTGCTCAGTCAATTAAAATAGCACAATTGCAGAAGTTAAAAAATATATTAGAATCCCTATTCTGTTCATGTGCCAGTTCCTTTTGAACATCTCTCTTTAATGTCACTGAATCTAGTTTACATTCCTGCAGGCTGAGAAGCTCTACCATAAGCTACAGCAAATTCTTCACAAGCTTTCAGGAGATGAATACACACTTGCCATTTCTACAAAGGCTTCATAGAACTGTAATAAGAGTGTTCTCACATAGCTGAAGAGCAATTTCAGATTATCTATGAGATCCAAGACTCAGAAGTTAAAATACAGAGACTGTCCCTCAAACAAGACTGACACATAGTCCAAACAACTAATTTTAAAGACAACTTGTAGAATACTTTTTTTAAAAAATATTTAAGAGAAAGAACAAATACACGTGAAGCCACTTGGTGCAATGTAATTGCTCGTATTCAGCTTTAAACCAGTTACTGAAGACTTGCTTATAAAACCTGATTCAAATACTTATGCAAAAAGCAGGCAAACTTTCCATGTGGATAAAATCAAAGCATGACAAGTTTTCAGTTGTTCAGCAGTCATACATCTTGCAAGTACTTTACAAAAAAATGTAAAATTTGGGTTCATTCTTTCTGATATACTAAGTTACTAGGAAAATGGAATCCAAATTAACAAGTAACAGTGGAAAATAACTGCACTTATACCACAGTATAAAACACAGACATGAGTCTTCACTGCACTTAGGGGTCTCAGTCTCGAATTTCTGTAAGAAAAAGCAAAAATAAAGGCTTAAGCAAGGATAGTGGTTATCTCTGCAGCCAAAGAAAATCACTGAGTTAACCAATGGAGCTAAGTCCAGGAGGGTAAGCAAACCTTAACAGTGTGCAGATGCCAGTGCTGTGACTCCCTTAACAAAGCCTGGTGAAGATGTCAATGAATGCTGCCAAGCTAAATGCCTGGTGGCAAGCAGCAGGCAAAGGAGATGTCACTCACTTGTTGAGTTTCATACAGTTCCCTGTCCAGCCTGCCTGTTTCCAGCTGGACCACTGCAGCTCCTCTGCTCTCAGCCACAGCTGAGAATCAAAGGTAATAAACAGCCCAGATCCACAACATACACCAATGGCTAACATCTTGTTGGAACACAAAGGAAAAAAAAAAATCCCTTAGTAAGTGAACAGATGGTTCTGTATGGCTTTTCCAGTAGCTAGGTCTCAGCAAGTTCTAGTCTCAAAGATGGCTCAGATTGCAGAGATGTGAAGTCTACAAAAAAAAAAAAGTCAAAATGAAAGAAAAATAAAAAGTTGATGTGTTCTTAAGCAGGTGGGAGCTCCATTTCTGCTTATGAAAGGCACAACAGCACAGAAGGAAATAAATAATTTTAAAAAGCTATGGATTCTTGGATATTATGGAATCTAAGGGCCTCAGTAACATTTTCCTGGGTTTT